AACAATGAAATCACTCTAAGATGTTTCCTATTTAAGTTTCTAAATTCGAAATTTTAATTCAAATTTTTAATTCTACCACTTCTTGATGCATTGAAATTGATTAAGTCTATTAATGATATTTATTATTATACCTAAAAAAAATTTTTGCACGAGTAATTATTAACCCTATTAATATCCCACTATTGAGCTTAATTAGTAAAAAAATAAAATTATTTTGTGTATAAATAGTGGCTGGTGACTCAAAACCCAGAATTCAAATCAAAAGCCTTATAAAACAAATTAGCTAATTACAAAGTCAAACTAAAGGAATTATAGATTAAACAACAAAATACTTAAAATTATATATAATGTATAGTTGATTAAAAAATAATTTAAATTCGAAATTTAAATAAAAAATAAGAAATGACATATCTTCTAGATCTATACTAAAGAAAAATTATTCTTTGGCAAGTTGCTGACTGTTGCTTTCTCCCCCAATATCCTCATTCATACTACATACCACTTTAATTTTTTTTCACTTTTAAAAACTTTGCAAATTTGAATTTTTATTTGTTAAGTGGGAAAAGATTTCAGCATTCATTACAAAATATTTCACTTTTCAGATTTGAATTTTGAAATTTGAACATGATGTGTGTGAAAATAGGTCATCATTTATTACAAATATAAAATTACACTACTTTCTGCCTTGGAAATATAGTCTATTAATTTCGCTACATTCAATAAAAACTATAATAACAATGAAACCACCCTAAAATGTTTCCTATTTAATAAGTTTTTAATTCGAAATTTTAATTCAAATTTTTAATTCTACCTCTTCTTGATGCATTGAAGAAGTTCAAAATTTAATTCATCTTATTTTCAAATTTTAAATTTGGAGTTCAAAATTTAAATTTGATTTTTTAAAACTAACAACTCAATTAATGTTCACCTACTTTCTCCATTGGAATTGTTAAACGTTTAACAAAAAATACACGTCTTCTTATTTTTTTTAGTCATTCACTTATTTTCACATCTTCTTCTTTCTCCTAATTAACTTGGGTTAAAAATGCTGTTGATATTGGTCTATGCATGATGGCTTGATGACCCAACTTTTTTTAATTATTCCTTTTGCAAGCCAGTAACCATTCATATTCTACATCATAAATGGGCATTTTTTGCATTAAATATTTTGGACAATATCGAAGAATGGGAGAATGTTTTACACATTTCAACTAATTTCCTTTAAATGTATTACATCATTACACATTTTTGTCATTAATGCTGTTTTCTTTTCTCGATAAAGCGTAGGGAATAGGCATGTAAATTTGTGATACGTTAATTCTTAGCTATAATATTTGATGTGGTAAATTTTAAAAGGATGCTCACGTTGTGGTATATTTGACGTGGAAATAATATTTTCATATAGCTATATATTCTTAGCTATAATACGTTGAATTCAAAAGGATGCACTACTCCTCAAAATCCACAATTTTGTTTTTTAATGCATCAAGAAAATCCACATTTCAAATAATATTTGCATTCTAATAGGAAGTTGGGTATGTTTTGATTTCCTTGAGAATATGGTATCACAAATTTGATCAATAAGTGTGCGAAAGCAAAGCAGAGCAAATAAGGCACTCCTGCATCACAAAAAGATGTTTGCCATTAAATATTTTACAGATTATTTTAATGTTTCTTCTACTTTCTGCATGAAAAATTGTTAAGCCTATTAATAATATTTATTATTATGTCTATTGGATGGAAAAATATTTAATATTTAAAATTCAAACTTTTTAAATTTGAATTTTAAACTTGATATTTTAATTCTACAACTTCTTGATGCATTGAAATCGTTAAGTCTATTAATGATATTTATTATTATACCGAAATTTTTTTTTTGCAAGGGTAATTGTTAACCCTATTAATATTCCATTACTTTTTCAAAATTCAAATTTTAAATATGATATGGGTGGGAAAGGAGTTTAATATTGTTTAGTGGCAAACAACTGCATTAACAATACTTTTTGCATTGATAATTGTTAAGTCTATTAATAATATCATTAATTTTTGTATCGAAAATAAAATTGATTAATGATAATAAAATCCCTCATTAATACAATTGATTAGTGATGAACGTTTGAATACAGTTAATAATGACTTGATCAAAGCAATTAATGAAATCAATCCTTGCACTTTACTCCTTTCAGAAAAACGATCCAACTTCTATGAAAGTCATTAATTTTAGTACACATTATTTTCAATCCTTGCACTTTACCTATATATATATATATATATATATATATATATATATATATATATATATATATATATATATATATATATATACTAATTACTTATTTGAAATGATGAGTGTCTCTGATATTACAAATCCTTATAAAAAAAATAAGATAGCAATTAAAAACTACATTTCAACCTTCAAAATGAGCATTAAAAACTACATTTCAATTTTTTTAAATACAAATTTGTAAAATTTCAAATACAAATGACACAAATCCTTGCAAAAAATAATTATTTATTATTACTTTTCAAATCTGATTGTAATAAATTAAAGACCATCTCTGAGATCAACATCAACATCACCTTTATCCCGAATTAATTGGGGTCGGTGGTAGATGAACCCACATGAAAGATACAGAACGGTTGAAAAAAATAAAATAAAATAAAATAAAATACAATAAAATATATATATATATATATATATGTATATATAAATAAATAAAAGTAAAAAAGAAAGGGACAAGAAGAAGTGGGGGAGATGAAGGGGAAAAGGACTAAAAAAGGACCATCTGGAACATAGGAATAACAACGGGTCTAACCCTCCACCATACTTATAGCTTTTCTCCATTTCGTTCTAAGACATACCGTCGGCCAATCTATATCCCACTCCATTAAATCTTATTTTACCACCTTCCCCCAAGTAAGTTTCGGCCTACCTTTGCCTCTTTTTGTGTTGAGCTCTTGGTAACAAACTTCGGTTCGTACAGGAGCATCCAAGGGCCTTCTCATCACGTGCCCAAACCACCTCAATCTATGTTCTCTCATCTTCTCGGCTACTGGTACTACTCCGACCTTTCGTCGAATATCTTCATTTCTTATCTTATCCATCCTTGTGTAACCACACATCCACCTTAACATCCTCATCTCTGCTACTCCCATCTTATGCTCATGTTGCCTATGTGCTGGCCAGCATTCCGCGCTATATAGCATTGCCGGTCTTACTGTCGTTTTATAGAATTTTCCTTATAACTTAAGAGGGATTTTGCGATCACACAAATACAAAGACCATATCTGAGATAAAATATAAAAACCTACATGTGACTATAAGAACCTTTTTTTGTGTGGATAAATACAAAAATATATTGCATGCTCATAGTCAGATGTGGCAAACTGGACTCGGCCCGAAGGGCCGGCCCACCAACACATTTTTATAATTAAATTAAATTTTCATCCTTCTTCTTTTATAATTAAATTTCTAAATCTGATTTTAATTTTTGTAAATACAAATTTATAAAATTCAAAATGCTAATGACACAAATCTTTGCAAAAAAATAATTATTTACATAAAATACTGATAGTTAAAGGTTGCAATCTGGGTTGCTTACCAAAAAAAAAAAAGGTTGCAATCTGGGTTTGCCCAGAGGGCCTTTCTGCCCCGCCTGCCAACACGTTTTAATAATTAAATTAAAATTCCACTATTCTTCTTTTATAATTAAATTCCTAATTCAGATTTTAATTTTTGTAAATACAAATTTATAAAATTCCAAATACTAACAGCACAAATCCTTATAAAAAAAATAAGATAGCAATACAGGTTTTTATAAGTATAAGGTTTGCAGTGCGATTAACCAACTACGGCAGACGACAAATATTTTGATCTTTTCCCCCGTGCATCGCACGGGTAATGCACTAGTTTCAGTTTCTATAGGAAAGCCTGTATCAAAGGGCCCATACTACCACCAACCCTACAACATTAAAGTTACCTCGACAGTGTTGCCATATAATATATTGATAATTTTTTTTTATAAATTTACAAATTACAGTAAGTCTCATTGATAATACATTCTTGATTGATGTATGATCAGTCAGACTTAATGTAGTTTGTAAATTTGTAACAAAAAAATTTGTCAGTATAACCCTTCCATTTTCCTTTATTTAAATTTAAAAAAAAAAACACCAATACCAACTTACCAAGCACCTAAAGAAGAAAACACCAATATCTTCTTGTTCTCTCATCTGTCTTTTAGTGAGTAACTATCTCGTCATGCTCCTTTATTGACTAAGAAAAAACATCAACTTTTCTACTCACATCATTCTTCTCTTCCTCGTGCAAGTGACGATTCTACACATATATGTTTCTACCGTAAGCTTAATACACTTCGTTTTAGAACGAAAATCATAGTGTTTTTGAAAATTTAATTTATTTCAAGGTTATAATAGTCTTTATATTTATAATTTTTTAAGATTTCAATACCAAAACGACATCGTTTTGAGAATAAATGCAGATAACTTATCTGCATTAACTGCAGAAACATTTTTTCCTTATATGATATCATCGAAATATATTCTATCATTTTTTCCCCTTATTTAACTTAGGGATAAGATATTGTGACACACAAATAATGTTACGCATAATGTTACGACCACATCTTAACCGTTGATTTCCATCAATCAACGGTTATCATTTATTGCGAATTAATAATTAATTAATGAGTTTAATTTGAAAAATGATAACCATTGATTGACGGAAATCAACGGTTAAGATGTGGTCGTAACATTGTGCGTAACATTATTTGTGTGTCACAATATCCTATCCCACTAACTTATTTCAATCTACAATCATATTATTTATAGCTCAATTACATCCTAATTTACATGTCAATCACGCGTAAGTTTTCTTTTCTGATTAATCTTTCTTCCCCTACAGACTATTTTCATGCCCTACAAACTTCCTAGACCCTCAAATTTCTTATTTGACGTATATACTTTTTAATTTTGGAACAATGGGATCTTCCCGTGACCTTGAAGTGAATATCAATGGCGAAGAAAGTTTCATGGTAGACAAGGTGAAACTCACTCTCTCTCTCTCTCTCTCTGTTTTGATTTTTTTTTTTTTTTGTTCAGTAACTTGTAGGGTCAGCTTTATTTGGGTTCCTCTATTTTCCATGTTAATTAGTTTTGGGATAAAGATGTTATTGACGTAGAATTTGTAGAGTCAGTTTAATTGTGTTTTTCTTCTTCTTCTTGAAACTGTTGTGTAGAGTAGTTAATGAAATATGTGTTTTATGTACATTTTTATTTTAAAAGTTAAAACTCAAAACAAAAACAACATGAATATATTCTCTAAAATTGATTCTAAAAATTAAAAACAGTTATAATTTCTAGAATTACTTTTACAAAACAGGTATTATGTATTATTGTCTCTTTTTTTTTTTCTTCAAAAAATTAAAATACTACTTTTAAAAACAAAACATGTCCTGAGTGAAAACATTTGGGGATTAGTATGCGCTTGTTCTTTTCTCCCGACATAATGACAAGCAAACACTTAACATTGCATTACACTATAAAGCATGGGAGGCATGTGGACCTGCTTGCAATACCCTTCATGTCATTATGGATTTCACACATGACCCCATGATTTATTACATCTCAAGTGCTTTCTCATTCAGGTTTTCTTGTGTCAGCATACTTATTCACCTTTGGGTATTTCTGCTATTTAAATTCATGATGATGGAATTAATGTTTTTTTTTTTTTTTTGGTTGGTCTTTTCCTCTATTTATATTGATTCGATGTATGTATGACGTATTTTGTTCTTTTCTTTGTTGTGGTGAAAACTGAAACTGTTATTCGTCGCTTTCACACATGCATCTTTTGTTTCTTTGGTAAACAAACAAAATATTTCAATACTTGTTCAGGCCATCTAAATTCTAACCTTCATATATACTGTGCAGAATATTCTTTCATCTTTCTCCCGTAAATTTAGCAACTTAATTGGTAATCTGGAAGACAAAAATGGGGGCCAGAAAGTTATAATTAATGACTTTCCAGGAGGTGCACATGGTTTTGAGCTCATAGTAGAACTTTGCAACAATAGTAACAGGATCAAGATAACTCCATCCAATGTAGCCCTGCTATGTTCTGCTGCTCATTTCTTGGAGATGGAATGTGATCATGATCATGATCATGATCTTGTAACACCCAGCTTCAAACACCGAATTGAAAATTTTCTTGAAGGGATTCGTATCTGGACTTGGTGTGAACTCCTGGAAGCATTGAAACAGTGCCAAGAATTATTCTCTTCCAAAAGTTGTTTAGCAACTCTAGAGAGAATTTTGGATCACTTGATGGAAAGCCTTACTTTGCATATTACAAGCCTATATACATCTTCCGCTGAGAGATCCAGCATCCGGTTTTCCTGTGATACTAGCAGTGCCAGCAGCTGTAGAAACAACTCCTCTGGGACTACATGGTGGTTTAAACATCTTCTGTTCTTGAAGATTGTTTTGTTAGACAAGATGATAAGGATAATGATATCTCATGATTTTGATCATGGTATACTGTCCAAGTTTTTATTCTACTATCGCAACTTAAGTTGTGTTTGTGCTGCACGAGCTGGGAGGATTGAGATAACTGAGGTTGTGATCAATCTTCTTACATTGCTCGATATGAAATCGGTTTCTTGGAAGGATTTATTCGATCTTTATCGAATTGCTACTGGCTTGAGATTAAGCAGAGTTTGCAAAAACAAGATAGAAGGTCTTGTTGTTCCTCTGCTGCATCATGCAACAATCGATTATCTACTTCTTCCATCTCCACGTGGGAGTCGTCATGCATATGATGTTGATTCTGTCCTAAGGCTCATGCATAAATATTATTTTGGAGGAAGTACTGCTGATTTAACTTTGAGTCCAATTAAGAGAGTTGCAAAAATGATGGATTTGTTTCTTGCCGAAGTTGCTCCAGATCCTCATCTAAAACCTTCTGAGTTTGAAGCATTGATTACTGTGCTCCCAGATACAGCGAGGGAATCTCATGATCAGTTATATCAAACCATGGACATGTATCTAAAGGTAAGCTACCCCTTTCCATGATTCTATGACTCTTACTAGTTTGCAACATTGCAATACTTGGTTTGCAATTTTACATTTCACCATGAACTATGGTGCTTGAAATAATTACTTTAAAAAGCTTGAAACTTCTATTTGTTCATTGATCCTGCTATGTTATCAAGTTCTACTGTTTTATGAATTCTATTTCATCCATAGGTCCATGCAGGAGTAGGTGACAAGGAAAAGATGAGTATCTGTCGTCCACTGAAGCACGAGAAGCTGTCACCTAAACTTTTGAGACATCTCAGACGAAATTTGTTATTTCCTTCTGAAACAAAACTAAGGGCTCATGTTACTAAACGATGCCGAATGAAAACCTTATTCCTGGAAAATTATACTTTGAAAAACTTTTTTGACTCCATGTTATGTAAAACCTTCAAGAAGATGGATGTGGAAGAGATTGTTGAAATGGGAATTTCTGATGCTGAAGAGCGTAGGCTGTGTCAACTGAATCCAAAAGCTTAGAGGAGTTTTGGAAGGGATGCGGAGTGGGAACCAATTGGCTTGCGAAAAGAAGTCAGGAATTCATATCGAGAGCAATGGAATTCACTTGCCAAAACTCTGATCACGATGACAATGGTAGAGAATAATATAAAAGCATTAAAAAAAAGATAATGGTATCCCATTTTTTTGTGATTTCATGTTTTTCTTAATTCCACCTGAAAGTGGAGGCAGCGAAGATCGAACTCGTGACTTCGTGATAACACTCTGATATCATGATAAATATCACTTCAACCAAAAACCTTAAGATATTAGACGATGATTTTAAAGCTTTTATATTATTCTCTATCGTATTGTTTCAGATTTGACACTGAATTTTGCGTTGATCCTTTTAAAGCCTTCCCTGACGATTAGTCTTTGTTGTTTTAAGAAAAGTAAAAGAAGAGGAAAAGAGGGTTGAAAGTGTTGTGCAGAGAATACACATAACTTTTATTGAATAACTCTTTAAATAGAGTTAAAGTCTAACTGAACAAATCAGATATCTCCTTATTTGTAGGCATGAATAATAACATCCTAATCTTAACAAACAGAATCAGCAACATATCAAATTTGAAATACTAAAACAGAAAATAACAAACTCCTAAAATCTAAATAAAATATCCCACTTTGCAGCTTTTGTAGGCATACTTTCAACAAATATCCTCCTTGCCTTAATAGCTGCAAACACTTAGTTTAAATCTCAAAGCTTCAAATCTGGCTTTTGGGAGAGCTTTTGTTAAAATATCTGCACTTTGATCTTCAGATTTGCAATACAATAGCTTGACTTCACCTTCTTTCTGCACTTCTCTTAAGAAAAACAACTTGATCTTAAAATGCTTAGTTTTTCCATGAAAAACAGGATTATTTGAAATTGAAATAGCGGCTTGATTATCAACAAAGATCTGTGTTGGCTCATTTTGCTCCATATGTAAATCAGCAAGTACATTTCTCAGCCAAATTGCTTGATTCACAGCCACAGTGGCTGCCACATATTCTGCCTGCAATGCTTTGAGTTACAACATCTTGTTTTTTTGAACACCATGAAAAAACTCCTGATCCAAAACTGAAACAATAACCAGTTGTGCTTCTCATGTCATCAATTGAGCCTCCCCAATCACTATCAGAATATCCATGAAGCTCAAAATTCTGAAAGTGATAATACTTAACACCATAATCTATAGTTCCCTAAATATATCTCACAATCCTTTTGGCGGCTTGAAAATGCACTTCACTAGCACAATGCATGAACCTTGAAAGTATACTTACTGCAAATACAATGTCAGGCCTAGTTGCAGTAAGGTACATGAAGCAACCAATTAGACTTCTGTAATGATGTTCATCAACTTTATCAGCTCCATCATCCTTGCTAAATTTCTCCTTGTGGTCCATTGGAGTAGAAGTGCTTTTGCAGTCCTCCATATGAATTTTTTTTAGTATTTCCTTTGCATACTTCTTTTGGCTTATAAAGACTCCATCATGATCTTGCTTCACCTCTATTCCCAAGAAAAAAGTCATCAAGCCAAGGTCTGTCATTTCAAACACTTCAAGCATTTCATCTTTAAACTCTTGCATTAGCTTTTCATCATTTCCTGTTACAAGCATATCGTCAACATAGATTGAAACTGTAATTAAATTAGCATCTGACAGCTTCACATATAATGTTGCATCGTTTGGACTTTTGATGAATCCAAGACTTTGAAGATAATCATCTATTCTGTTGTACCAGGCCCTGGGGGCCTGTTTAAGACCATACAAAGCCTTTTTTAGCTTGTAGACCTTATCTTCCTGTCCCTTGACTAGAAATCCCTCTGGTTGCTCCACAAATATCTCCTCCTGCAGATAACCATTTAAGAAGGCAGACTTTACATCTAAATGGTAAACTTTCCATCCCTTATGTGCAGTCAAGGCAAGCAACATTCTAATTGTATCAAGGCGTGCAACTGGAGCAAATGTTTCTGAAAAATCTACTCCAAACATCTGAGCATATCCCTTCACCACTAACCTAGCCTTGTATTTATTTATAGAACCATCTGCATTAAGTTTGGTTCTATAAACCCATTTGACACCTATAGGCTGCTTGTGTTGAGGTCTGTCCACTAACTCCCACGTGTCATTTTTCTTGATCATCTTTAGCTCTTCCTTCATAGCATCTACCCACTTGTCATCCTTCCCTGCTTCTTTGAAATCTGCAGGTTCTAGAACAGCTACATTACTCCTTTCATAAATTTTAGATAGCGGTCTTGTACCTCTGACTGGAATGTCATCTATATCATCATCAAAGTATTGTGGAATTTTTAGCAACTCATTTATTGTCTCCTCCCATTTCCATTTTTTGTCTTCCATGAATTTAACATCTCTACTTACAAGAATTTTTCCATTTTGTGGTTGGAAAATTCTATAAGCTTTGGAAGTACTACTGTATCCAATGAAAACTCCAGGTTCTGCCTTTTTATCAAGTTTGTCTCTTTTAACCTGTGGAACAAAAGAAAAACAAACACAACCAAAAAATTTTAAATTTTGTAAATCTGGTTTGTAACCAAACCAGGCTTCAAATGGAGTTTTTTTCTGCAGAACTCTTGTAGAGAGTCTATTTAGCAAGAAGACTGCAGTGTTTGCAGCCTCTGCCCACAATTTTTTTGGCAGCTCCTTTTCATGTAGCATGCACCTTGTCATCTCCATAATGCTTCTATTCTTTCTGTCAGTTACACCGTTCTGTTGTGGGGTATAAGGTGTTGTAAGTTGGTGCTCAATTCCAGACTCTTCACAAAATTTGTCAAAAACAGCATTTGTATATTCTTTCCCATTATCTGACCTTATTGTCTTCAATTTGCAATTACTTTGATTTTCCACCAATGCTTTATATTTCCAGAAAATGTTAGCAACCTCAAATTTGGACTTGAAGAAATAAATCCAACAAAATCTAGTACAATCATCAATAAATATAATATAATATCTATTATCATTTAAAGATAATGTTCTCTGAGGTCCTCCAACGTCTGTATGTACCGGCTGCAGTTTTTGTGTTGCTCTCCATGCTGTTTGAGGAAATGATTTTCTGACTTGCTTGCCATATTGACAAGCCTCACAATCATCAATCTTGTCTTCAATCAATGACACACCTTTCACCAAGGCATGTTTCTGCATGTATAGAAGTCCAGCAAGATGGAAATGTCCTAGCCTCTTGTGCCATAATTTAGTGTTGCTGACAGTACTTGAAAAAGCTAATTGCTCCTCCTCCATCATATTAAGAGCATAGCTTTTAGCTTTCATTTTCACCTTAAATATATCTCTTCCTTCCGTATCTTTGATCAAGCACCATTTGTCTTCAAATATGACTTTCAAGCCTTTTTCAACAAGCTGTGCAACACTAAGCAGATTTTGATCTATGTCAGGAACATATAAGACATCAGAAACATGTTTCAAACCTGTTAAGCTTTCTATAGCAACTTTCCTTTTTCCCTTGACTGATATGAAATCACCATTTCCAATTTTTACTTTGGAAACGATGGTGTTGTCAAGCTCAATAAACAACTTTTTGTCATTGGTCATATGGTTTGTGCAGCCGCTGTCTATTAACCATGAATCACTGGAACTGTTGCTTGTAGCAAAGCATGTTGCAACAAAGAGTTGTTCATCTTGCTCATCTGTGGACACCTTTGCCTCTTCCAGTTTAGACTTGCAGATCCGCTCTACGTGTCCCATAATGCCACATTTTCTACACTCGACATTTGGCCTCCACCAACATTTTCTTTGAGGGTGATTTTTTTTTTGCAGTGTGGACAAGGTGGAAAAGTCTCATATTGCTGCTTGTTGGAGCCTTCACCCCTCTCACTCTTCCATTTGTTGTTATTCTTATCTTTGTCTCCTCCAGAATTTTGTGTTTTTATATGAAAAGCACCTTGTACCTCCTCCTCTTGTCTCATTTTTCTTCTCTGTTCCTGTGCCTGCAAAGCATTTAATAGTTCTGCCAAGGAAATACTTGACATATCCTTTGAGTTCTCCAGAGATGCAATTTTGGCTTCAAACTTTTCAGTAATTGTAACTAAATTTTTTTGAACAATTCTAGAATCTGAAAAATCAGTACCAAGAAGTCTTACATTGTTGACTATACCAAGAAGCTTGTTGGAGTATTCCTGAATTGTTTCTGATTCCTTCATCCTTTGCATCTCAAATTCTCGGATCAGATTCAACACTTGCATCCCTTTAACCTTCTCATTTCCATCGTACTCTTGCTTCAAAAAATCCCAAATCTCGTGGGCTGTTTTCAATGTCATTATTCTGGTGAGAATAGTGGATGATACAACAACAAATAAGGTTGCTCTTGCTTTTGATTTTCTCTGCTTCCTCTCTTTGTGGTTTCTGATTTGAGCCATAGTAGGATTATCAGGCAAGGTTGGAATTTCGTATTCTTGTTCAACAGCTTTCCAAAGGTCACTTGCATTAAGATAGGCTTCCATTCTAACAACCCAGAGGTGATAATTTTGACCATCAAATACTGGAAGCGCAATTGGAATGGATGAACCTTCTAAATTCATTCTGAAAAGGTTTTGTGTGTGTTTGTGTTTGTGTTTAGGAATTGTGGTTGGGCTTGTCACTCAGTCTCACAGATCCCTCGGATTAGTAGCTCTTTGATACCAATTTGTTGTTTTAAGAAAAGTAAAAGAAGAGGAAAAGAGGGTTGAAAGTGTTGTGCAGAGAATACACATAACTTTTATTGAATAACTCTTTAAATAGAGTTAAAGTCTAACTGAACAAATCAGATATCTCCTTATTTGTAGGCATGAATAATAAAATCCTAATCTTAACAAACAGAATCAGCAACATATCAAATTTGAAATACTAAAACAGAAAATAACAAACTCCTAAAATCTAAATAAAGTATCCCACTTTGCAGCTTTTGTAGGCATACTTTCAACAGTCTTTCCAGTACTTTTTTTTTTCTTTTTCGTAGAATAGTGTTCTAGTACTTCAAGTAGTAAATTATTCAACTCCTGTACAGAGATATTCTACTTAACATATTCCAAATATGATTTTCTAGCTATAAGAGAAAAATACCACTTGTTTCCCCTTTGTGCTGAAAAGGAT